CTTATGATGATTCATATATTTCTCTATGATACAATTCATTTTCAAATATTTCGCAAATTATTTCATATGTACGTCTATCTTTGATAAATCCTACAATTAATTTATGTAATATTTGTTCCTTTATTTCTCTATATAAATTCCTAGTTATATATAATGTTATTATTTTTAATTTATTAGGGATGGGGTTGTAAAATGTATAACATCCTTTTTCTTCAATACATTGATAATAATTATTTATTTTTAAGATTTCCATGATAAAGTAATTTCAGATTACTATGAAATCTATTTCACTCTGGATTACTTTTAATATATATATATATGCTTATATTCTTCAAATAATATTTTTTTAATTATTTTCTCTTTTAATTCTAAAGGTAGATTTTTAATTACTTTAAAAATTTCTAATACTTCATTTATATCTTTACTATATGTTCCAATTATATTATCTTCTTCTATATAGCCTTCTATGTCATAACTATATTTTACCCGGTACCTTAGTCTATTTTTATAAGTTTCAATAATTTCTAAAATCATAATCTTTTGAGTCTTTTCCTTATTTTTTCAATTTTCAATATCTTTTAGGTAATTTATTTTTTTATATATTTTCTCATGATTTCTATGGTTCTGATACCAAAGGACGGGTGCTACTAAGAGCGAACAAAAATCTAATAATCTAAAAATCTAATAATCATGAATCTAAAAATTTAAAATTTTAATATTCAAAAAACTCTTTTATTTTTACTATTAGGTGTATATAAAATCTTAAGATAAAGACTAATTTTTTGTATGTTTGTGGTAATCTATTTTTTATTAGTCTTCTCATAAATTTTTAAGTAATTCTTCAAAGTCTAGTAATGTCTGAGAATTTATAATATCAATATCTGTTATCATATCTATATCTGTTCTAAAAGGTATATCATATTTTGAAATATTTTTCTTCCCTTTTTTCAATTTATCTATGATATCTTGTATATCTTTTATAATTATTGATCTTACAATTCCTTTAGCAAAATTTTCTAATAAGTTTTCTTTGAAACATTTTAATATTTCTTGTGATGCATATAATTGTTTTTGATATCCTATCTTATCAATTTCTTTTTCAAACTTAATTTCTTTTTTATTTTTAACAACTTTTTTTATATTATATGGTCCTCTCTTATATTTGGGTTTTTCTATTTTATGATTATACATTAATAATTCTCACAAATTTTTAGAAAAATTATTTGTTAATTATTTAAGGGCTTAAATAGAAGATTTATATTAGATAAAGGGTTGTTTTTTAATATTTGTTAAAGGGTGTTTTTGGTAGTTCAAAATGTTTATAAGAGTCAAAGGCTATTTTGGAAAATGGCTAACATATTTGGGTTATTTTCATGCATTTCCCCATTTCAGAATTAGTTAACTTATTGATCTCATAATCTAATTCCATGTTCACATATTAAGGAATAAATAATGGCCAGGTAATTTGAGGGGAAAGAATAAGCTAATTGCATAATTTTCATAGTTATGTAAATAGGAAAATTAAGATTTAAGCTGACTCGTGTGGGTCAATAGCACTCTGGTAGCTGCTTTCACTTGATTCTCCTTGCCAAAAATAAAAAAAATATATATATATATATAAAAGGTTGTGGCATGGCAAGAGAGTACCAGGCCAGTTCTTTCACATTCATAAACTGCCCCTACTGAATTTTGGTCCCGGGTATTTTATCTATTACACTTTAGGGGCGGCTAAAACATAAAGAATCGCATAAAAAAATTCAAGAGAAATGTTGTCGAGAAAACCACTAATGCTAGAGGAAGATTACCATCAAGAAACAACATTTATAAAAACCAAAAACCAAAAAATAAAAAAATCTAAAGAGTTTAGTTGAAATTAAACCATTTACCACATAAGATCGACCAATATTTTAACATATAAAGCCAGTTTTTATACCAATAAAAACCGACGGTACTTCAAATTTTGGTGATGAAAAAGTTGAGTAGAAATCACAGCAATAAAAGATAAATGGTGGATGACTTTGTCAGGCCTCTCCTTTACACTGTAGCGGACACCGACCGAAAACCTTAGGGCTGTTTTACTCTCCCCTTGTTGTTAACTTATATAGGCACGTGCTATTGGACTTAATGTTTTATTGGCCAATGAAATTTACATCATTTCACTGTTTAATAACTGAACTTCGTCAATTGTTCCATTGGCTGGTTTAGCTCCGGTTTAGTGGAAAAGAAAATGAGTAGAATATATATATTTTTTAAAATGAGTAATTAAAAAAGAAAGAAATTTTTTTCGATTTACGTATGATATTAATTTATAGAAGATCATGTGGTTGAAAATAAGAAAAAAATAAAATGTAATGTAATGAAAATTAATGGAGGCCAAACAAGGGCTTAGTCATTGAACTTCATCAATTGTTCCATTGGCCATTGAACTTTGTTTTATCCAACTCCTATCACTTATCCGATGAAATCATTAATAGATGGCTTTACCAATTTTACGAAACTCGACTTTTACAAAATCGAAATCCAATTCACTAAACCATGAAGTCACCGAACTTTACATCATGTCACAAATTATTAAATAAAAGGGTCACGAGGTATTTCTCGATCACAAAATAATAAACGGTGAGTCGTATCACATTTTTTTAGTTATATCATTTATCGGTTACAACTAACCAATTTATTGGTCACAACCAGCTAAATAATTGGTCACCCCACTAGCACCGCCACGACTACAACACTGCAAAATATCACCACCACTACCACAACACCAGCAACAACATCATTGTAATACCCCAAATTTTTCTTACTATTTTTCATAGGACCTAAATTTAATAATGATTATCTAACAAATAAAACAGTCTATAAATATCCTTGTTGTCACACTAGAGGTCAAAAGTTAAAGTGACAAACTCGACCTACTCATTTGCATAATGATTTATTTGCTTACATATACTTTTAAAATTTTATCGAAAGTTAGTCGGGTCGAATATTTAAGTATTTAAAAGTTCATAAAAGAAAATATATCGATATTATACTCATTTTATACCTCGTATTAAATAACATAAATTGACTTAAGAAGAAATATTTTTAAATTAGTTATACACTAGTTATGTTGATATAAAGAAGTATTCTAGATTTATATATTTTATTAATAAAATCAAGATGTAAATAATAATAAAATAATGAAATGAAAGTAATGGCATGAGTTGGAATTTGAGATATGAAAGGGTTGTAATACATTATAATTAATAAAACATAATTATCCCATTAACAATAACTAATTAATATAGTTCTTAATTAATTGTGGAAGGCTTTTGATTTTCAAGTGTTTAATATGAAATTATTAATTTAATTATCGTGAGAATTTTATATAAATAGACGTCATTTTTTCCATTTTCATACTTATACACATTTCATTTTGTCCATCAATGTCAACTCATATTTTAGAATTTTTCATATCAGTTGAGGTAAGAATACATCGGGCAAAGTGGTAAATTCTTATTCCCTGATGTTTATATAATTGTTGGCATAAAATGCTATAAGGCTTTCGGGTCGAACCCTATGTTAAATCCTTTGGAATAGACCGTTAGGTCAAAGATGTTAAATCCTACGGGATGGACCATTTGGTCAAAGATGCTAAGTTTTACGGGATATGGGGATTCTTAAGAAATTTCTTGAGCTCTAAACTTAAAAAATGTCAGTATATTATGTTAGTTTCATACTTATATCTTGTGAATAAGAATGTATACGTATTCTTATTGAGTGTTTTCAAAATACTCACTCTTACTAAAATTTCATATTAGAACGGGTCGTGTGGACGCATAGCGGATTGACTGAGTGATGCTTATGGGATCACCAAGTAAATTTTCTAGAAAAGATAATTGTCATACTTTTACTTGAAGAACATTTCCTATTAAATTTTGTGCAAATTGTTTAATAGCTATTTTTATGAATTTTCAACACTTAATGAAAGTGATATTTCTGTTTAAATTAGACAAAAAAGATGTTGGTAACACCTCGAGTTATTTTATTTAAAAATAATAATAATAATGAAAAAGATCTCGGGGCGTTACAATCATCACCGTAGAGAACACTGCACGGATTGTGCTTCACAACGATCGCTTCCATTTTCAGATCCATTGCACCGTTGAGCAACACTGTTACTGTGCCCCGCTTGTTGCTGCTGTGATGACACAACCGATAGGAAGAGAGTGACGTTGCCTCATCGTCGATGTAGCAATGACACCATTGTGGTGGTCTCTCAATGGTGATAAAGAGATGAAAAGAGTTGTCACTTGTCAGAGTGAATCGTCATGAAGAGTCGAGGAGTGAATAGTCATGGCTACGTCATGGAGGTGAAGTAGGAGTGAATACTTGTTGGAATTGTAAATTAGGTTTTTTGGGGTGGGTAAAGTAGAGGTGGTAAATTAATTTAATTTTATAATAGTATTATTAATGTTAAATATTTGAATTATAATATGGTTTTTGAAAAAAAAAAATTTTGTAATTCTCATTTATGAATTGACATTATGAAAACACTTAGTTCCTATAATTTCCACTATTAACAAATTAAAATTCAAAAAGAAAACATGTTTGGTTGAACTTAAAAAGTTTAAATAAATAAGTAAATTTCAAAAAAAATAATTGAAAGTTTAAAATATATATATTGATATTATAAAGATTAAGGTCTTATTTGAGCCGAATTCTTTAAAAAAAATACATTTTTTAATGATTTAATATTATTTTAATCACATATTTTTTAATAAAATAATATTATATATAAATTCAAAACTTTTACTTATTTTTTAATTATATATTTTCCATTAATCTATTATTTCAAAACACCTTTTTTCAAAATAACGTGGTACAAACACACACTAAAATAATACGCAGCTAAGAACAAGCATTTAATTTTGATTCCTGTGAAATTACTATTATAAGAAATTAAGAAAATAAATGCGAATTAAATATTCATATTCATGTAAAAAATTGTCAGTCACAAAATTCCGCGACGTGAAAAATCTTTTCAAATCGAAACCACATGACGACTGTGTAATATGCTAGTATGTATTTGCATGTAGATTCCAATTGGGAATCTTGGAATGGATTCATAAGACGGTGGTGAAATGTCATCGGGTGGCAAGTACCGTGATCATGGCGCCGGAGATTTGGAATCCGGCGGCGCCCAAACTCCGGCCAGAAACAGCATTGCATCTGATCTTTTAAAGCGTTTGGATCGAGGCTTGTCAGGTTCGAGTCGCCGGCTAAAAGTCAAACTCCGGACTGACAGGGCCGGCCGCCGACTCTCTTCTTCTCCTTCGCCGATTTCTGATCGCAGTTTTAGCAGCAATGACGGCGCCGGAGGTGATGGAAATGATATTCTTGGAGACAGTGCACCGCCGGAGTGGGCGTTGCTACTCATCGGATGCCTACTGGGTGTTGCTACGGGTCTTTTTGTAGCTGCTTTTAACCGCGGGGTTAGTTTATTTGTTCAAACCTTGCCATAAATAATATTAAATCGGCTCTATTGTTATTCATTTACTAGTGATTTCTGCGAATAGAAATTCTGTGTTTACTACTAATATCTGCATTGTAGATATGAATACAGTTCAAACCTTTGTAGTTTAGAAAAGGTGAGATATGTCATCCACAAATGTAAAAGTTAACCTTTATAGTTTAGAAAAGGTGAGATATGTCATCCACAAATGTAAAAGTTAACTTCTTAAGTTCACATAAAATGGATGTTAATAGTTCTCATAAATATGGGTCCATTAAATAAGGGAGACGGTATGGTAACAGAGAGCTGCTGTTATATAAAATTTGCATAAATGGCCAATGATCCGTGTCACAATAGCAATTAGGACTTGGCAAAATCTGTAAAGCTATTGCATTTTGAGCTGTTCGAGTGGGAACAGCTGGATTAAATAATTACAGGAAAGAAGCATTTTTGCAACCTTTTGTTGGTTTGGATTTCGGGGAGGAGTTTGAGTATAACATGGGCACTTAACTCACTCTTAAGAATTTCTCAAAGAAGGAACATACAAAGATATGATCCCCATGCACGTGGACTCAAAGTGTCAAATCCGTCCTCTGTCGTTACCTTGGTCACAAGTGTCTGGTATGGCTATTTGAAGTTATAAGAAGAGTTAATAGTGTCTCTTATCATAATCCACTGTATTGCCCTAAAGCATTAGTGTGGACTTTTCAACTTTTACTTTATTTGAAAAGAAACACCTGATGCTGCCAAAGTTGTTTCATAGGTACATGTAATACATGAATGGGCATGGGCTGGTACCCCGAATGAAGGTGCTGCTTGGCTTCGTTTACAGAGGCTAGCTGATACATGGCATCGCATACTTCTAATACCATTATTAGGTGGAGTTGTTGTTGGAGTTTTGCATGGCGTACTTGAATTATTGAATCAAATCAATCAGTCCACTTCTTCTCAAGGGCAAGGCTTCGACGTGCTTGCTGGAATCCTCCCAGTGGTAAAGGCTATTCAGGCTGCTGTAACATTGGGTACTGGTTGTTCTTTAGGTCCTGAAGGCCCTAGCGTAGATATTGGAAAATCTTGTGCCCATGGATTCTCTGTGATAATGGAGAACAATAGAGAAAGGATGATTAAACTTATTGCTGCTGGTGCAGCTGCTGGAATTTCTGCAGGTATCCCCGTTACTTTTCTTTATTTGCACCATTAGATAGAGTCCAATTTATATATTTGGTTTTTTTATGTTAACTTCTTTAGAAAATTTCTTTTTGGGGCATCTCAGCAGGTTTTGCGGACCACCACCTATTTTTCATTCTTTTATTTTATAGTTTATTTATTTGGGGTCGGGGGTGAGGAAGTAATGGAATTTCCATGAGCTCTTGATTTTTTTTTTCTCTACTCTTCTTGAATTTTTTTTTCCCCTCAAAATACTGTTAAATAAATATTGATTCTTTGAAATTCAGTTTCTGGATTACATAAGTGGGAATGTCCACTTATTTGACAAGTAATATACAGTGAATTAATGTGTGTACTTCGACTAGAAATGCAACCCGCTACACAATTTCTAGGCTAATTAATTTTCCTTCCCAAAAATATTATATTTCTTTGAGCATATCTCTCTATCACCCCTACGTGCACGGTGGCAGTATTGTGCTCGTAATTAAATATTACAACAGGAATTCTTCAAATATATGTGTAGATGAAGATATTAACTTGAGCCTTATTTAATTGTTCGTCATCTTTTTTCTAGGTTTCAATGCAGCAGTTGCTGGTTGTTTCTTTGCTATTGAAACCGTGCTGAGGCCTCTCCATGCTGAAAACTCTCCTCCATTTACAACAGCAATGATAATTTTGGCTTCTGTTATTTCTTCTACTGTATCGAATGCCATACTTGGAGAGAAACAGGCTTTCACAGTGCCCACGTATGACTTGAAATCTGCTGCTGGTATTTAATCCAATTCTTGTTTGTTTTATGGAATTGAAACATATCTGCAGCATGGCTTGACTGGCCGTTTCTCTTACTTCTAAACACTAGTATTGTTATGCTTTCTTCCATTGCTGCCGCTTTGCGCGCTCGTGTGCTTCTTTCTTCCGTCCGTAGCTTGACGTTAAATAAAGCCATTCTGTATTTATTGTTGTTGGATAGAAAATAGATGCACTGCAGAACATGTTTAATTGCTATACCCTGCACCTTTTCTACATCTATGGAAAGAAATTTGTCTTCAATAATAAATTTTTGAATCATACTTTGTACAGAGCTACCTTTATACCTTATATTGGGAATGTTATGTGGAGTGGTAAGCGTGGCTTTCACTCGCTTGGTAGATTGGTTTACTGAGGCATTTCAGTTGATAAAAGTAAAATTTGGGCTACCAGATGTTGTTTGCCCTGCTTTGGGCGGTTTAGGAGCCGGGCTAATAGCTCTCAAGTATCCCGGAATACTATATTGGGGTTTCACTAATGTTAACGAAATTCTACATACTGGAAAGACTGCATCAGCTCCGGGAATCTGGCTTCTAGCTCAATTATCCTCTGCAAAAGTTGTGGCCACTGCTCTTTGCAAGGGGTCAGGACTTGTCGGTGGCCTTTATGCTCCGAGTTTGATGGTTGGTGCTGCTATTGGTGCTGTATTTGGGGGTTGTGCAGGAGAGCTGATCAATTCGGCCATTCCTGGAGATGCTTCTATTGCTCAGCCTCAGGCTTATGCACTGGTAATATCTTCCAACTATAGTCTCTTTAGCTTTTAAAAGCTGCCCTTTTCTTTCCGTCACCTCACATCATTATGAGTGTGCATTAACATTATGCAACTTTTGAATCATACTGCAGGTTGGAATGGCTGCAACATTAGCTTCTGTTTGTTCGGTACCTTTGACATCAGTTCTCCTCCTCTTTGAGCTAACTAAAGACTACAGGATATTGCTTCCTCTCATGGTAGACTTGTTCCCAGAACTCAGTTTTGTATTTATTTGTGCAAAAAAATGGTTGATTCTAATGCATTCAAAAAAAATTGATATGCAACTCCATTTAGTTTTGATAGAATGCCCGATTCTAACGCAATCAAATCAAATTGACATGCACCTTATTTTGATTGAATGCGCAGTGAACATTTGTAGTTTGTAGAATATTTCTGAAAGATTAAACTAGTCATTTATGCAAAATTCTTCCCGGTAAACGGTCATTTCCAAAGTAGCAGTATGCAATTCTGATATTTTCACTTATCCTCTTCAATTTTTAAATTCTTCTCAATTTTTTCTTTCCAATTTCCCCAAAATGCTGATGCTCATTTTAGCAGAATTGTCTAGTTAAGTGTTGATTCTAACTTTGGTTTCACTACTAATTTTCTATGGTGGTGCATGCACCAATTAGATGATTTGTCGTGTTAACAGATGCATGGAAGGTCATTTTTTTTTTTTTCATTCATTTGTGTCATCAGCTATTTGCTTGAATATACTATGTCACAGATTACTTCAGAAAGGATAAGAAAAGTACACTCCTGAAATCTTAGGTATGAGGTCAAGTGTCAAATCAATTGATCCAATGGGTCAAGTAGAAGTTTGTGCTGTTGTATTGCATAATTTCTGTTGTGTCTATATTGGTATCTTGAAACCCTTGCTAAATTTCCCGATCCAAAACTGATTAACTGAAGATCTTAGAAATCTATAATTTTTTTCTAATATCATCTGTAGCAAATGAATAACTTACGTTTTCACCGGCTGGTGGCCCCTGATGGTTGATTATTAACACATTTTACGATTTTATTAAAATGTGTATTTGGAAGATGTCAGTGCTTGATTCTTATGCTTTTTGCAACAGGGAGCTGTTGGATTGGCTATATGGGTGCCTTCTGTGGCAACTCAAGCTCAGGAAACAGGTGTGTCGGATGAAAGGGATTTGTTAAGAGGTTATTCCATTCTTTCGCCCACTGGAAACAAAATTGAAGATGATATATGGAGAAAGCCTGATGAAGGGAATGACTTAGAACTCTCGGTTTTTGGAAATTCCAGCGACTACGAACCAAAGGATGTAGATATTGTTCTGGAAGATCTAAAGGTTTTGCTTTGACCTTTCATGTATAGAGCTGATTATTTATTATTTGGTGGTTCTATTTTCTGGGACAAAATTTATAAATAGTATTTCCTGCTATTACCAGGTTTCTCAGGCTATGTCAAACAACTATTTGAAGGTGTCTCTGACCCAAACTCTAAAAGATGCTCTGAAGTGCATGCACGATGGTCAACGGAATTGTGTTCTAGTTGTTGATGGAGAAGATTATTTGGAAGGAATTTTAACTTAAGGTGATATCAGACGGTATCGACACAAGAAGATGGGTTATTCTTCTACCGGTGACACACCGAATCCAGATGTAAGAGATAACGAAGTTTTTATCATTTTCGTGTTTGTGTATGTGTTTGGTTGTATGATGTGTAGAAATAAACTAATTTGTTTGCTAACCAGTTTTAGTGGTGCCTATTTAGTGATTGTGAATTCTTTTTCAGGCAAGTACATGTCATGTATCTTCTATATGCACACGTAGTGTAAGTCATCGCCCTCGAGAGCATGGGCTTTTGATTTGTTATCCTGATACCGATCTGGTAACTGCTAAGCAACTAATGGAGGCTAAGGGGATCAACCAATTGCCGGTGGTTAAACGTGGCGGAGATGCTCAAAGTGGGAGAAAAAGAAGGGTTGCTGCTATTCTGTATTACGATTCAATCTGGAATTCTCTCAGGTTTTGCTCATTTTGGTTTGTGGTTATAGGAACTTACTTTTATGTTGACTGCTGCTGTGGTTATATGATATCTTCGTGCATCAGTGATAAGCTGGGAAGTGAAAACTGTTAAATTCTCCCTAGTATAGAACTAGAAAGCAGTAAAAAGAAGAAAAGATTGAAATCATTTCCCTGGATAGAACTAGAGAGTAGTAAAAAGAAGAAATGATAAATTCAATACGAAATCATATTGAAGATTGGAAAATATCCAATGAATTAAAATGTATACAAAGTGCTCTATTTATAGACTAAATGACTAACCAATTAACAAACTATCTAACTAATCAACACACTAACAAATTAACTAACTATTAACTACATAACATCAGGAATTTGAACTGATCTGTTGGAAGCTGAAGCCTCTGGAATGAGCTGGAAGTAATTTTTGGTTCTATATTGTAAGAGCCGCCCTCAAGAGGGGCATGGATATTCAAATGCCCATCTTGAAGATATTAGAATGAAACATGATGGATGATAGACACATCATATGGTTCATTTAAGATTCTAGCGGCCAAATATCCATGAATAGGGCTGCCTCCAGGAGTTTTCTGAAAAATGAGCACAAATATAACACTTGCAAGTGGTGAGCATAACATGTCAAATCGATAAAACGAAGCAACCAGATCTGCCAAGGGTCATCCCCGAGTAGGGGAACATCATTCGCTCAGTCAACTCGAGCTTCATTGGTTCCTGCCATTATAGGTGCAGGAGCTTGAGAACAAAGAAATGAAGAAAAGAACTAATGAAGAAGAACTCAAACAATATTGAAATCTGCTATTATAATTGCTGGAATTCCACAAAAGAGAATGTAAACTGGAGAAGAAGAAAGAAGAGCATTTTATTAATCAAGCTCTCTTCGTAGCTCTTGATAGTTGCTAAATTTGGAGATATCGAGTGACTGTTTGAAGGACCATGACTTGTGAACCTTCCTAAAGGTTCGATTGGGTGGACTACTTTGATCTACATTTTCCAAGAACTATAAGAAACCCGATTCATCTACACAGCTTGAGGCAAAATCTCTATCTTTGAATGAAGATAGGCAAAATTTGGTAAGCCTAAAATTGCAGATGATTCCTCTGGGAAATCAATTCAGGATCCGCCATACTGGCTTTATATGTCCAACATTAACTGTGGAAATCGCCAGAAAATGACGATAATTTGTTGGAGAAATTCTCTGCCAATTGCATTCAATGCTGTACTGCAAGATTGATAGCCAATGATGTTAATGGCATGAATCCAGAAGATGCTATTCCATGCTTAGAACAGTGAATAATAAATAGTAGAGGCCGAGCTAGAAGCAATGAAGAAACGCTCTGATACCATGTTAAATTCTCCCTAGCATAGAACTCGACACAAGGTTAGAATTCTAGTTCTTCCAGAGTGGTATCTCACTAATGGCTCGGGCCCCGGATCGGTCGCTCAAGATCTTTGGTCTCTCCCCGGACCCGATGAAAAAAATGGAATCACTTCTTATGGACGCGTTGAGAATGATTTATTATATTAATAATATAAATCGCCCCGAAGAGTCTCTGGCCCGACACTACACAAATACGTACAATTACAAAAGGGATGTTCAGTACCAATTCTTATAGCATTGTTCGGGGAGTCGATAAGCTAATTCCCGTGGATGTCTATTTCTGTTGATACTTGTTTGATTCCAGCCTGAGGGTTTTCTAAAAGATTGTGAATCCTTGAATAGTGAGCTCTTGGGGAAGATCGGTCTGTTATCCCTAGAGTAACTTTTATCCCTTTGAGTGTATGTATTTAGCCAAAATACATGCAATAGAATCTTTCTATTCGGCCCAATCCTTTTAGAAAGCAGCAAAAAGAAGAAAAGATTGAAATCATTTCCCTAGCATAGAACTAGAGAGCAGTAAAAAGAAGAAAGGATAAATTCAATATGAAATCATATTGAATATTGGAAAATATCCAATGGATTAGAATGTATACAAAGTGCTCTATTTATAGACTAAATGACTAACCAATTAACAAACTATCTAACTAATCAACAAACTAACAAATTAACTAACTAATTAAACTAACTACTAAACATAACATCTGAAATTTGAACTGATCTGTTGGAAGCTGAAGTCTCTGGAATGAGCTGGAAGTAATTTCTGGTTCTATATGTTGGAAAAATAATTAGTTGCAGCAGTGATCAGAACAATATAATGCAGAAATATAAAACTTATCGATCGAGTCTCGTGACAGCACGATGTCCTAAAGTGAAATTGCCCGTCAATAATTGCTGTGACCTCCGTGGACAATCACTCCCAGGATACAACGATCGTAAACCACTTATGCAGCAATCACGAATGGTTTTTCTAGAACTCTCAATTGTACTCCAGAATAGGTATAAAAACCCGAATATAAGAAGTTCACAATATGAAAAGAGTGATTGATTCTATTTTCTTTTTGTGTGTCTTTTCCCAAAGCAAGACATGGGTTTATATAGGCAAGATGGTAGTAACAGTCTTCACCATGTTAATGCAGAATTTTAATGACTGAGTAGTGGGTGTTTTAATGGCAGTTAGTGGGTTGTTACAAAACCAACAGTCATAAAATACTGGCTAGTTTTACCAATTAAATAACCAAAAAAAAATAAATATTTATTTTAGTCAAGGAAGCCCAAGAGCCCAAGGCCCCAAGGCCCAAATCAAGACATTTTAATATTTGCGTGGGGAGTGATTCGAACCCCTGACGTCCCACACAAATGTCACATTTCCCACCACTTTGGCACTTTATCTAATTTGATTATTTCTTTCACATTTTATATTTATACCATAAATATATAATAATCCCCCACATGAAAGAAATAAGATAAATGAAAATATTACTCTGGAGTACGGTAGAAATCATGCAGGCTTAGGTGTCTATCGACTTGAACCTTAACTTTGTATATTCTATCGAGCTTACTAACTGTAGAGTGAACTATGTCTTGAACTCTACAATTATAGTTGCAAACTGAGACAATAGAACACACACATGATTTCTAGAACAGTCATTGAGTTCTCGCGGTTGTGTTCATTTCGGCCGTGAACTTTCCCAGTTTCTTTGAGTGCTCTAGAGAATTCGCCTCAATTCTCATAGGAAGCGGCCCCACTTCCACACTCAAATAGGTGCTACTATCAAGGGTGCACTGTATTTAAACACCCCACTGAATATCAACTATAGTAAGCATTAAGAGCATTAGCTCATCCTCTAATCAATACAGTTGGTACTACGCATCATAGGGAGGGGTTTGGAATAAATCCAATGTAGTACCCCCACAGACCACTCCAATAACTTTGTTGTCCCATTGAACCTTGACCATGGGATCTCCAATTGCAAGGTTGGGTTTCCATTATAGGTGATCTAATACATAATAGGCTTTAGCCCCATCCCCCTCGATGTTTGTTGAATTAGCTCTCTAGCCAATCCTTTGGTTAATAGGTCAGCAATGTTATCACTTGACTTCACATAGTCAATAGCCATAATCCCATCCTTAAGCAGCTGACGCACAGTATTGTGCCTCCTACGAATATGTCTAGACTTTCCATTGTAGGATGAATTTTGAGCTCTTGAGATAGCTGCTTGACTGTCACAATGTATTGAAATAGTTGGAAATGGTTTAGACCACAAAGGAACATCCATAAGAAAATTCCTTAACCATTCAGCCTCCTCACCTGCCTTATCTAAAGCTATGAACTCAGATTCCATAGTAGATCTAGCAATGCAGGTTTGCTTAGTGGATTTCCAGGAGACAGCTCCGCCTGCTAATGTAAATACATATCCACTTGTAGATTTACTTTCATTGGTATCGGAAATCCAATTAGCATCACAATATCCCTCAAGTATAGCAGGGAATTTGGTATAATGTATTCCCCAGTCTAGAGTGTATCTCAAATACCTCAAGACTCGAATAAGAGCATCCCAATGTTCATTGTTAGGATTACTAGTATACCT